CTGGCGACCCGTGCTGTGCGGTTCCCTGTGCGGTGCGTCGCGGCCCCTGCGTTGCGTGTGTTTGTGTGCTTTGTTTGTGTTCATCTCACTACCTCTATGCTAAGTATATATCTATTCTAGTATATTATCCATAGTATGTTATTTTATCCGTGATATATATATTATAAGAGCTATCTACTATATAATAAGATAGAAAGAGTCCGAAGTGTGCCCATCGTTTTACGTTAATCTCCTCCGGAAAACCGTTCGCTCGTTGTGCTCGCCGCGATCGAGCGTTGGGCCCCTTTGGACGTCCCCCGAATATACTATTTCGCTACGTTAGAACGCGATTTTTCGTATGGTTAAATGACTTTTCAGGCAAATTTCCTGTAAGAACTGTTATGTGCTCCGAAGAATACTTCGGCATTCATCGGCCCGCGCAAACCCACACCAAATTTTACAGATCGCAAATAACCCGCATGCGCAATGCAGTCCAAGCAGTCGAGACAGTACGTTGTGAATCACTTGCTGATTGACGTGCTCTCATCGAAACCCGCCCACCAAATTTTATAGATGCGCCAAATCGCATAGGCGCACGATCCTTAATCACAGACATGTGAGTCACCTGCTATCTTCGCCAGACGTTGCACGGTTTGTTGCGCGCTGTGTGTAACATGGGATGTATGTTGTATGCGTGCGTTGCGTGCGTGCGTGTGTGTGGCGGTTATGTATGTATGTGTGCCTGGTGGCACGCCTGTTGGGTGAATGCTGTTGGGTTGCGCGCCGCGATATGTGTCGCTAAATGTGTATGCGTGACGCGCTGCTCAGTGTGATTGTGCGTGCGCATGCCTGCTATATGTGTGTTGAATGCGGAATGTCATGATGTGCGGCTGTGCGCGCATGTGCTGCCAAACATTTGACAACGGGAGGTGTTTTAACCGTGCCCACGCGGTCTTACCGCGCGCTCCGCAATGCCTCTCACATTTTTTAATGCTCGTTTCGATTGTTCTAGAGCACAACGAATACCATCACTTGCTAACATGCCATGAACATTTGAAATGTGTGTTAATAAATATTATGTTTTTGTCTCACGCTGGTTTTAATCGCTGCTCCTAGCATATAACTACGATGTGAGTTAAGGTTATTAATAATAAGGCATTTATTAGGTGGAGCCTTTCAGCTTAGCATAGCAATGCCACACTAAACGCACGTACGGCCACGCACGCCGGCCCACGGCGACGCGCACCACACGCACAAGTACCAAAGCCGATTGCGGCTGCGGGTGTCATTATAAAAACAGGCCAATCACTGCTCGCGCAAGCTGTGAGGGCAGAAACCCCACGATTGAGACGCGACTGCTGCAGTTGTTGCTGGTGTGTATGATGGTATGTATGTTGTGTGTGCTGTGTGTGTTGTGCTGTGTGTGTCGTGTGTGGTGTGCGCGCGGTGTGCGTGTGCGAACCTGTGCGTGCGCGTGCGTGTGCGTATATAATGTTTGGCTGCCCACAGCCGTCTTGTCATTTTGTATGATGTAAGATGTTAGTATAGATGCTGTGCGTGAGTGCGCGTTGATTAGATGCGTGCGTAGCCGTATGCTGCGACCCCTGTGAATGCGGTATCTCGAAGATGTGTGCGTGCGGGCGCGCGTAATCGTGTGTGATCTGTGATGTGTGCGCGCTGTAGATGTTGCAATATTTGACAACGGGAGGTACGGTAAACCGATGCCTCGCGCCGTCCACCTGATTTCAGAAGTATATATCTTTCCAAATCACTACTCAATAGCATTTTTTTTCAGAATTTCCTTATGTATTCATGTTCTACAGATAATATTTGCAAAAATATATCTAAAATAAGTCAACATTGTACTATGAATCGCCTCATTTCCTTTTTTTTAAAATTAAAACATGTTATTTACGGTAAAATTTCAGATTTTATATATATTAGACAACTTTTTTTAAACAAATATTGATATATGACTCGAGTCTAAATATCAGTATTTTTCGTTTACTGTAAATACATCCTCAACTAAAAGTGAGAGATAAATGGTTAAACCGCCATCCTCAAATCAGACCCCACTCAAACCCGTCTGGAGGACGGGTAATAACTAGTAAATATTTAATAACCTTATTTATTAGGTTTTTATGAGGTATTTATTAGCTCTTGAGATATCAGTCATGGTCACCAACTTTAACAAAGCGTTAAGAGAGCACGAAGAGTGTTTCAGATGCGCGGTCAAGGCAACAGCGCGCCGGTATATATGTAGGGTGAGTCGAAGGAGAGGAGTCACATCGTGTTCAACAGGCTCCTACGGTACACACACACACACACCCAACGCAGAACCAGCAAGGTAAGCCGATATGCCGTCGTTGTTGTCAGATACAGGTAACTGTGTTCAGTTGGCTACCGTTAGATATAGAGTTGTATGGTAAAATTGTATCGGCCCGTCTGGTCTCCCTACACCTAAGTGTGTGTAGATGTTGTCATAACTAGTCTATGTGCTCTTGGTTTCATGGATAATGTCTACTCTTTATATCCGTGGTACATGTTACAGTGGGCTATACCTCTAGTGGTAGATGGAGAGTAGCAAAACGACATAGCAGTATATATGCGCGTTTGTTTACGTTATACGTACAGTTTTGTTAGACGCGCCATATTACATATTATACATTATTATATGTTTGTTTCTAGTTGATATATATTGTAGTATAATTGCGTCTAGTTATTTACATGTAAAATATCCATACATTAAATAGATGCTTGTCAGCATACTAGCATACTAAATGAAATTACGTTTTCCGCCGAATTCCATGTTAGTGAACAACCGTATTCCAAAGAACAGCAATACGATTCAGTATGTAATGATAAATTATCGACGATGTTGACAATGCCCGACACATTGCATTGAGGGTTGTTCGCGGCGTCGCAACGTTGGCTTACGCGGTTTTGTTCCTTTGTGTAGAAAATCTTGTGAAAATCTCAGGAGAAAAATGAATAAGACTACAGCCGCTCTTCTCGTCATCGTCGTGCTAGCCGTGAGTATAATCTAACGCATAAATCCTCCCCTCTCTCTTCTCTCTCCCTCCCTCGCTTTTTCTCACTCCTTTCACTATCTCGTCCTCCTCTTTTTTTCGCTTTCTCGTCTTCTTTCTCTCTGTCTCTCTCTCGCCCTTGATGTTTGTTTCTCACTCTCGTCGTTTTTTTTCTCTTGCACGCTATTTTCCTTTCGTTTGATCCTCTCTCGATTCCTCTCTCTGTCTCTCTCGCTCTATCTTACTTTTGCTCTCTGTATATATATGTATATATATATTGTAGACACGTGATTCGCGCTACCTTTTTAAGAGATTCTGTAATAAACTAGAGACAAGTAAAGACAAGACAAGACAAGAAGTAGCGTTCAGTAGTGTTTTACTACACCATACAACATGAAATCTCAATGTACTACAGACTAGCAAGACCGTTCATTTACATAGCAACCGTATCACGCACTTACACCTTTCTCGATCAGTGTCTTCTAACCAGAGCCTCGAGAAGCGATGGCTTCCACCTTATATACGCCGCGCCCTTTTCCTACGTCACCTCTCGTTATAGCTCCCTTCTCCGCTTCTCCGGCCAACTCGACATACCAAATACGGGGAATGCGGTCCTATACCTTCTCCATTTCCCAAACCGAATGATATGGATATGTGTGTCTTCGTACTTGGCCGGATTCCATGATCCCATTCCTGCCCTGATGTCATAGGTCATCTGGTCAGCGTCTAGGTTGTCACAATGCGCAATGCCCGGGGAAACCTTAGCCCCGAGCTCGACCATTGCTTACTCTCGTACGTGCTCGACTGGCCCGCGTAGTGTCCACTCCCAGCATGTTGTGACAACCCTCTCGACACTGCGGCGCCAAGATTGCGTTTCCCCGTATCGCTGTCGCTTCCGCGTGGCATATGACATCTGCCCGCTTACATTCCTCCCTCCCCCTTCAGACGATGTACGCATCGTCACGCCACAGCCTCCTGGCTGTCGCCAATGGGGACTTAAATTTCGCCCGTGGAGACAATCGATTGGTGACGTAGCTAAAGACGCGCAGCTCCGCTATAATGGATGCAGGAAAATTCGACTGGCAGTCTCGAACGAATGCCGTTGCTACCTTCTCATCTAGGTGCCGCTAGAAACCGAGATATAACGCGGTACTTGCCAATACATATCGCGTGCAAGTCAAAATTCATATACAATATTGCGCAACATTCTAGAAGCACACAAGAAACCCCATTTCGTTACATTATGGGTTATTCCTTCCTACTGCTGCAGCGCTGCCCGAGGCCTCGTTAGTTTGCGCAAGCTTAGTGCCCTCGCAAAGCCCTTCGGCCAGTGATCGTACGGTCCGTGATCGTATCGTAAACAACATCTATTTATCTATTTAGCTTTTTTTTTTCTTTTTTTTTTTTTCTATTTATGTATATTTTTATTTGTTATCCCCGCGCTATTCTCCCGCTGTCGCTACTCCATACTACACTACACACATGACATCTACAATTCTAGCGGGGAATAACTATAACGTAAATGGGCTGGCGCGCCCTGTTGCTCTCGTCGTCGTCGTCGTCGTCCTCGTCGGCGGGGGGTGGTGGGCTGGCGCCCAGCCAGGCCCCAAAGCTCGATCCCGACCGAATCCTGCCGGCCTGGGCTGCCGCTGGCCGCTCTCCTGCTGGTACTGCGGCGGTTGGGCGGGAATCCTGGCGGGGATGTCCTCCGGTGCGCCCCATCCGTTCTCGTCGACGACGGCTGACAGCGGTTGATACCTCGGCATAGTGTCGGATCGTTGAACGTTGATCGGTGATCGTTGATGGATAGTTGAAAACTACATGACGGTGAGGGGAGAAAGGTCAGTAGCTGCAGCTTAGGTACGGATATCATGAAGGTAATGAAGTAACAGAGATTCGTTATTATTAATGCACTGCAGCGTTCCGTTGCTGGTGCTATTCGAATATCATTGCCATGCCATTATAGTTTTCTAACCCCGCTTCTCAATTAATCGGGACTGTAGTGCATATAACATTAGTATTTCGTCCCTGAATACCCATGCATCCATATATTTATTCTACGTATTAGAAGGTCCGCTACATACATACGGACTGCCTCGGTCTACTGCAACAACAATACATACAGATTAGCGAATGATAATTTAGTAATACATTCTTTAGTAATACATAGTTTAGTAAACATATTAGGCCACTTGTTACAGCCAAGTACCAATATCATCCGGCATTTTCTATAGTTTGAATTCTCGTTGACTCTTTCCTTCACGTACACTTACTGCGAGCTTCATACTTAGCTATCTTATTTCTAATTCTCCTTAGTATACCGTTACTTCCGAGATGTGCTAAATCTCGTAACGAACTATTAGACTTACTAGACCACAATGGATCTGGGCACGTCGGTATTCCCGAAGGATGGGTACAGTATCGGTAAGGGTGGGGTGGTAGCGCGCAAGGGCGGCCGCATAACTCCCGTTATGCGTACTGATGGGATTAGACGTGAGGTGTGGGGTGGCGGTGTGGCAGGTATGAACGTTAGGCTCGGTTGAGACGGCGTTACAACAGCGCGAGGTGGTGATGCCGGCCTCACCACAAACGGCTGCCGCAACTCCCTGATTTCAGCCGGACGCTCGCTCGCTCGTGATCCGTTGTGACGACAATGTTGGCAGGGGCTGCATCCGCAGCACCTGACACAAATGTATACTGCAAATATCACAAACGCTAGCGCAGCTAAACCTGCATAGGTTGAAGCATAGTGCATAGGCGCGTTGAATGCTGTAGCACTTGACGTAACATCTCTCCCATACAGTAGTGACTGATTCTTCCTAACAGAATCCTCTAACTTCTTGAATGCAACTTCAAAATCCGAACGGGTATACAAAGCTTTGGGCACCACCATATGTATGCGAGACATCCTGCTGGTTGCATTAGCTCCTGGATCTCTCACTGTTTCAAGTAATGGTTGCCATAACTGCGGAATATCAGGCCAACTATCTAGCTGGAACGACGGCGGTACAATCTCCTCCCTGGATTGATGAACATAATACGAGGGTAGTTGAAAATAATCGGTATAAGCTTTACAGCCTGACTCTAACGTTAGCAACTGCTGGTTAGTAATGAGGTGCTCTGTTACACGCGGGGCCTCTGTATCCTAGCCATAACAAGACGACGTGACATGAAACGGAAACGGCGTGGTTACTACCCAAATTCCATGCGACAAATAATGCGCTTGCGGCCGCGGTCTAGCCGAAAAGACTACCACCTTCTCACATTTAATATCAATTTCTGTAGTCAAGTTGCGGAAAAGCGTCATCCCACACGAATTAATCTGAGACGATGGGTAGACTGGTGTATTTAATGGGCAAAAATCGTGATCGTTATGCAAACACATAAGCGTCTCATGAATATCCGGTTGTATGTAATAATCATATTCAGGTGTAACCCCAAGGTATTTATGGGCCACGTTGTATCGTGCTGCAGTTGCTAGTGATGAATTCGCACTTGGTAAATAGACAAGAGGGGTCAGAATTTCATATATATCGAATAAGGATTCCCTTTGTCTTAGTGGTACCGACGCGAGGACATGGAACCCATGCAGCGAAGGAATAACCACTGCCTCTATTATCTCGTAATATTTTAAGAGTGACTCTGCTGGTGTATGTGGCAATTGAAGAGTTGAGGGTAAAAGCAATTGAATGTTCGTTAAAATTCCTAACAGGTTATGGGGTGGGATAAGATCTGTTGATAGTCTACCCCCCATTAGAGTATCGACCGCTCTTGTGATGGCATCTATGGTTGACTGTAACTGATCAAATGCAAGTGTGAGTCCATTTATGGCCAAATATATGTGAGTTAAATATTTAAATTCGGTCAAGGTATAACCCTCAAAATCTTCCAATTCCCTGGTTATATATTGCACCCGATCTGCGATAAAATTACTGTGATCAACCACTTGCTTCAACAGTTTAGTATTTAATTCAGTATTTATACGAGTTAAATTTATTATTGTGATGCTGTCATCCAAAATAGCCGAAAGATGGGATTGGGAAATCTGCATACCATTAATTTGTCCCTGAAGGTATTCGATGTCATCCTCCGTAGCGCTACCTATTAACCATTTTGCTAACTTTCCGACGCCAGCAAACAAAGACCGCTCTGATCGTGTTCGATGGAAGGAATGAAACCCATGCACACGTGCGCTCAATGCATCATATCTACAAAAAAACCACTGTAAATGAGTCTGGAGCATTTCATACAGATCATGCGCGAATGCTTGTTCGCCACTCCAAGCGTGATAAGTAGGCATCGCCTTATACGGGGAAACAGGCGTTTGCAAACGGTTAATCTCTACATGCATTCGGGTAAGGTAGAGGTTTAATGCGGAGGTGTTTACGGAAAACGCTATCAACCAGGTGTTTTGTGACACTGACAACTGGTCTTTCTTGACAAACAGTGCGCCGTTCGTCGGCTGCAGTGTAGAATTCACCCCCGCCGGTGTCAGTACATGCCAACACAGCGTGGTTAGCACGAGTCTGGAAGAAATATGATACCATTTTAAAGATACCCCTGGGAACGCAGTGCCGCTCGCTGGCGTTCACGGAGTCTGGCTAGTGGAATTTCGTCCTCCTTATCCCACTGCAAGGAAATTCGCCCGTCATTATTATCCTCAGCATCGTACGCATGCTGGGGTCTGTCATGTGGCGTCATTTTCTCCTCCTCCCGCTGTGGTGATACTACCGCCCCCTGTCGAGGTAAAGTATTGGTTAGTGGTTCACCCCATATTCCAGTAGGGTATGCGAACCTGAGACTGTCGACGTGTACATTACGCATATTACCCGTACGCGCATGTTTAATCCGGAACTGTACAGGAGATAATTTCTCATGTATTACATGATACGGTCGCCAATACGAAGCTAACTTCCGACTGGCTCCGGGTATGACTGTAGGATTATACCAATAAACCTCGTCACCTACCTCAAATTGTTGATTCTTCGCCTTCCGGTCGTACA